AAAAAAAAGTTTGTAAAAAAATGAATCCGCCTCAACAATATAGAACTTATCTACTTTCTAAGTTTGCTATAATCACACAAATGGATTGCATCATCCAATAATGATTGGAGTCAGAGCCAACAGAACGCATCTGATTGGTTTCGTTTATCCTTTGTAATAGGCGCTATTCCAGTTTATAGACGCAACACATGCGGTTTTCTAGAGGTTTATTTCTTAAGCGCCATTCCTTATTCTTGATGCATGCATAAACCCGGCAAAGAAGTACGAGTGTGATTAGGCGTGCAATTAAAGAGCAGATTTATCTGTTAGTTTCAGAATCATCGAAATAAAAAATGTCAATTCTGGACCAAACTAGAACTACTCTGCCACATATCCCGGGGCTGCCACCTCCGCCTGGACTAATGGCTCCACACGCTTCGGAAGTTCCTCCAAACTCTGAAGTCCTGCTAGCTCTACTGGCCCGAAATAAAACATTAGAAGGTAACAGTTATTTATGATAAAGTTGGAAATCTGATAATGACTCATATGTAAAGTTTTGATAAGAAATTTGTCGAAAATCGCACACTACAGAACGCACTATTAACATACCTTTGGTATATATATTACAAATATTCATAATGGTTAATCAAATTAGCAAAATACAGGGTTATTCATTTCATGCTTAGGAAAGCAAAATAAAAAAACTGTCAAAAACAGTCTCTTCAAATTTTTCCACTGTGTTCGTAATTGTTTGCTCTGTGGGTCGATTATGTCGACCGCAATCTGCTCGTAAAGCCCTAAACTTTGATACAGCAGAATCACCATTTTAATAGTAACATTTAATAATTTTTACGCGTTCTTCGGCAGTTAAACGATCAATATTCCAAAATGGCAAATCTTCAACTAAAACAAAAACGCTTCGGATGACGTTTACCTTTAATAGATATCAAATAGCAAGGTGTTGCGTGCCCAACCTCGCATTGGATAACCCGTTATTAAGAAGAGGTGTGCTAAACGGGTATTTTTCTGGAACAGGTCACAACGTGGCAGTTTCATTTTGGTATTAGGTTCCAAAGTAACATGTTCCTATCAGACTATGAAGGCTTTCACGGCCGGTTAAATCACATTTAGGAATGTTTTCAAATGTTCAAAGGCCTTTGATAATGTCTACCGCAGTTGTGGACGAAACGTCAGGAAGAAATTCCCATAGACCACGGCTTCAAAGCCCGGAAAACATTACTAAATGTAACATGTTCCTTTTCAAATTGTTCATAAAAAATTCCCAATGATGATGATGGTAGAAATAGTGATGATAAATAAGGAGTTAGATTACCTAATAACAAAGTGGAACTGCAACGTTGTAACTTGTTCCAGAAAAGTAACCGGTTAGCACACCTCTATACGGGACTAGTTTTCAATTTTCAATTCATTAATTCAGTAGGGCAACAATGAAGAAACATGATTAGTTTAAAGTGAGAGCACGATAATACTAATAAACTTTCTGCCATTTGACTTTGCTTAAGTGAGTCAGCTTGCAAGACATTATCACCACTACTAATCTCTCTGATCCCGAGTACTTTAGTATACAAAGCTCTTTAGAACCATCTCGTTTGTTCGAATGAAATCTGCCCGTTCTATTTTGTAGCACGTACAATCCAGTCGATTTTAATCTGTTTCATTGACAATGGTCACAATAACTAGTTGAGGACCCTTTTCTCCACGCGTTATGCCCGACACGCGACTTTACTAAATACTGTTGAATTGCAGTCCATCCCCTTGGAAAGAACAACTGTTTGTCCTACAAATAAAAGTCCAGGGAGTGATAATTATAGCTTTCAGCTGGAATATAACTTGTTGGGCGGTGCAAATAATTCCGGAATATTTTCATAAAGATCAGCCTTAAAACGCATATGAAGTGTACATGGGAGAAAGGGGCCAAGTCAATTTTTAGCTTCAAGAGCTGATGTTCATTTCGCAAAAAATATTTGTACAATTTGATTTTTACAACGTGATTGCTGCTGCTTTAGGATAATAGTTAGTGGGAAGTTGGAACAGCTACAACAATTAGACAAAAACAGAACGATATACCTACATGTTGTCTCACAAAACCTATGCACAAACAGAAATGGGGGCAATTCGGATTTTGGAACGGGTTTGGAACCAGAAAAGCGATATTCAGTCTACAGACATTGTCAGAAAGCTGGCAAGATCAAAGAAAATGTGTTTTTATGTGTTTCATAGGCTATTTTTCATTTGCTGCACAATGCAAATTGATTGGTACCAAAATCACTCAATCCTTTCTATTTCCAGTCAAGCGTGACAATTCTTAGTAATAAACTCCCTCAGGAGTTCATCGAAATATCGGGAAATAAATTAGCTGCCTGCATACACTGAAACAGTTATTCCGTAGGGAGCAAGTCTGAAGTGGAAGGGATAATTTAAAAGTTGCGTGCCACCACACCTGTTTATGTTTCGTCTGTTCCAATCTTTAGATTCACATTAAGTTCACCTTTTTGTTCATGTACAAAGTACACCACGAACTAGTACTGAACGTCAAAGATTATACAAAGCAAATAAGAAATTACGACAAAAAATACAGAAGCTCAAGAAGAAGAGTTTACACAAACCCAAGAAGAGCAATATGTACAACATCTCGTTAAAGAATGTTAAATGTTGCAAATGAAAAATATATTTTACGTTCAAAAGTAAATTAAATTAAATTTTACCTATTCCTGATCAATTTATAAATTATTAGACTAACAAGAATATTGAAATTATAAAGTAAAAAAGTTCAATATTTTATGGTTTCTATTAATTTATGAAGTTATCACTTCTGTCGAGCGTCCCGTGACGCGCACCATTTTTTTTTATCTGGAAACACGTAAATATTTCGGTAACGAGTGATCCGAGGAAAAAAATGTTTCAAATAAGAAGTTAATATCGGGGAGGGGGGAGTTAAGTCGGGTCCGAAAAACAACGCCTACTTCCACCTTGTAGGCTAGGCAGGGCCCAACTTGAGAATTTCGAATGGTAACCACAACATCCTACTACTGGAAATTCGCATAGTAGGTTAAAAAGTGAGAATGATTTATCTAAAACATTTTCTCCGATTTTAGCAGGTGTTAACATTTGAAATTCTCTAGTTGGCTTCTGCCTAGCCTACAAGGTCGAAGTAGGCGGTGTTTTTCGGACCCGACTTAACTCCCCCCTCCCAGATATTAACTAGAAAAACCACCCTGTATACAGGGTTATTCACGCTATACGGCACGGACGTTT